ACTATCTGCTGAGCCAACGGCCTCTTGAGGCCGTTGGCTCAGCAGATAGTTCACCATGTGCGGCGGGCTTTATCTTACGAATTGACTGTGTGATACGAATAAATGTCGCAGATGTGCTGACGTCATCTACTCTCGTACGATGCTAGCTAGCGACAGTTTTTTGTACAGTTTTAGCGTTCTCAGTAAAATATACGTTTCATCAAAATTTCAGGGTGAGATGATTCCAGTGCTGTAGTTGTGGGGGGTTGCGTGTTATTAAACCTCTGAGACCCAAAGAAAAAGAAACTCTCAAATTCACAAAATTGCACTTTCAAAAGAAATTTCAATTTCCTCCAAAACGGCCATCATAAAGGTTCTAAATTGCTAAAGTCCAAGAGCTTCCAAGGGCTCCGCCTCCTGGACTCGGGCAAGGGCTCTCCCCCTGCACCCCGCCAGGGGCCCTAAGGCGGGCCCCTGGACCCCCACCCGTTAAGGGTTTCGCATACGCTACGCACAAACATTCTTCGTATACTTTATGATGGAAGTAACAGCGAAATCATCCCCCACAACTGAGGACCTGTCTACGCCACTGGATATAGAAGTGAGTTTGTATTTGTTTGGGCAGAACAGGATCAAGTGATCCTGATCAGACGGATTCGTCCCCCGGGGGTGGGAGTCACTCCCATACTAAAGTGGTACGCATGCTCGTCAGAGAAAACGTCGACAAAGGGTCGGATTTTGACCCTGTAGCCTCGACAACGTCTTTAGAAAAATGGGTACTTTTTCAGATTAACATTCGACGTTTACGGTCGCTTTTTCGCCCACTTTTTCGCCGGGTTTTCGTCATTCGATTCGCCCATTTATTTCCGTGTTTAGTACTGTTTACATTCTCAAAAGGATTCTCCCCGGGTTTTCTAGTCTCAAGGTCAGACTTTGATGGGCGTATGAGACCTATTGAATGAAAAAATTGTCATTACACAATTAACATGATTAAGGGACCAATTTATTGTGCTACGCCATTTAGGGGTCCGTTTTAGTGTCTTGCACCATGGGTAAGATAAATTTTTACATTATCTTACGTCAATAAGGCGTGAAATTTGCTGCCGCTGAATACGCCATTTAGGGTCCAATTTTGACATGCTTTGACGAGCATGCGTACCACTTTAGTATTGGAGTGACACCCCGGGCTCGGCCCGGGCTTCGTCCCAAACAAACGCACCCTGAATGCGCTGTGTTTATTATTACGATAATAGTTGCGTGGGTTCGTTCCTAGGCGGCGCCTTCAACACGATCGCCCCTTATCGGCATTCTACGCATGAGAGAGATGATGCGCACGTACGTGTCTAACAATGACACTAGTCTGAAAGAATACCGAACGAATTCAAACGCACTACTCAGATCGCGTGTGTGCGAACCAGAAAGGAAAAAACAAACCGAGGAAGTGTACGCATGAGTGCGTGTGTATGTGCATGTGTGGCGTGTATAAATAAATAAATAAATAAATAAATATATATATATATATATATATAAATATATATATATACGTGCGTGCGTGCGTGCGTGCGCGCGTGCGCGCGTGTGTGTGTCGTGTGTGTGTAGTCTCGGTGTGTGTGTGTGTCAGATGTGTGTGTGTTCGGGGGGCGATGTGTGTCGTTGAATGGTGGCCCTGTGTCGCTGGTCGTGTGTGCCTGTGTAGGATGTGTTTGTGTGTGTGTGTGTTGGTGTGTGTGTGTGTGTGTGTGTGCTGTGCGCTTTGTGTGTGGTGTGTTGGTTTGTGTGCGCTGCTCTCAATACTCTCGCCTTTCACTAAATTACACTAGATATAATGTATCTCGCCTCGCTTCTATTTGCTCTTCGATATTTGGATTTCTGGGTCGGTGGGCGCGTGCTCTCCTCCTTTTCTGTCTCTCGTTGTTCCTTTGCCTCTCAGGTGCGCTTGCTCGCGCTTAGAATACATATTACTCGGTGAGCCCAAGAGCTGGCTTTCCTGCTGTGGTGCGCACGCACAGAACAAACAGCTGGCGCGGTCTATATACAAAGGCGTCTGAATGCGTCCGGGCCGCGCGATTCCCATATAAGCTCTTCTCTCAGTTACATTGCTCGGGTTACAGAGCCCTTCGCCTTGCACCAACAGCTGAGCGACGCGAGAACGACAACCTTCAGTCTGGTGACAGGTTCAAAAACATACGGCAAATTGAGTGTCAGCTCGAGAGCGGCGCGGCATGTCAATGCGGAACTTTCGTAAAGACAGCGGCTGGGCATGGTTGGGTGTTATGCTGCGTGGAACTGTCGTTCAGTCAAATCACAACGCTGGCTGCGTCTCTGTTTAGCCTCAGTGGCCTATTACGCATCACTGGTTGGAAAGCTCGGCTGTTTTTTGTTACGAGGGCCAAGTCCGGTGACGGGACTGGGACCGTGGGTTCGATTAATACGGGATGGTTCACTTTACAGGTGAGTATGGATATTATGGGCTGTTTTACTGTTGGTGTACTTACTCACTTAGGTGCATACACAAGATATACCACATTACGGTGGCACATACGAACAAAGCTGTACGCACCGCCGCACTCATTGCCATGCATGTTGACGCGCGGTGTACATTATATCAACGGGAAAGTAAACTTTGTAGTTTTATAGATCTTTTAAGCACTGAACACAAACGATAAAAACAACATTTAAAATATATCCAACATACTGACTATATGTTTTGAAATTACTCAAAGGCAGTATAAAGAAATACAGCTTATGTGCT